AGGCTAACAGATAAACAGAAACCACAAAGGATTATTAGCATCATTATCTCCATGGACTAAAAATAAAAGATTAGAGCCAACATTTTAAGCGTAGAACATTAGTATGAGATGTATTAAGGTAGCATTCAGTATTATGCTTCAAAGATTCAGGTCCTATCCCTATCGATAATTAAATACTAAATAATGATAATATTATTAATTAGCATACACCAGGATTCTTTCTTTGAAACTGTAGTTTTCTAGCCCAGGCTACTCCTTAAGAAATGCCTGAGTTCGTTCAATACGTTCGGCAGTATTTGCCAGCCTGTATAATAATACGGGTTAAAATTGGAAGAAACTTGTATTAATCTATTGTAATAACACAGAAGCCATCAAACCATGTGGCATACTTTTATTGGGTCTTTTTCAGCTTTAATTATCTACGGTAGGTACAACTTTAGTGACCACGATTATATCGAAACTCTGCTGTTACTCTAAAGCAGATACAAAGTTGGTTGCCATGCCTTAGACACTCACACACACGCACACACACGCACACAGGATTCTGCACACTCCTGCATGCAAACACTATGCTATCATAGGAAACGTACTTCCTTTTATTAAAAACACAATTAAGCACAATAGTCTGGATTTCTTTAAGCTACTACTGATTTAAATAAACCTGAGAACGCTCCAAATGTCAAGTAACACTGTTTCCATCCCTCTCATCCAATGGCACTATTCATCACAAAGACATCGAGTCTAGTGTTCTATATCAAAATCACAGAGAATAGAAAAATAAACATTTTTGCAAAAGCACTAACACATACTGTAATTCAAATTCACAAATTCTGATATGTAACATATATTCCCCTTCATATTTTTGATGATGTGTATAATACACTGTACAACAGAATAAAAAAATTATAACAATTCAGCAGCCAAATAATACAGTTATCACTATAAAACTTGGAATTAAAATTATCAGCTGAAAAAATATTAAAATTAATAGCAGTGTTGAACTTGCTAGCAGTGTGTTACTTAGAAATGCCATTGCAAAGAAATGCTTCGAAGATTGTACTATTTCACCTTAAGAAGAAACACAACACAAAAAAAATGTAAGCAGAACTAAGCAGCAGACTGACTGAACCAGCTGCCTTTCTCTTCCCATCTTTTCTTAAAGTCTATTGTATCTATAATGTCCACTCCACCAGACTTCCAAAACATAAAAACGACTTTGAATTTAGGACAAGCCTTTTGCATTCGGAAACGGAAGCGCTGCCATATTGGGGGACAAAATTTTAAGCCCCCGACAAGAACAGTATAAACTTTTCTATAACATCATACAAAATACAGACAATACGGACCCAGTCTGGCTAAGATACTTCGTATTTACTAACGATTTTATGATGATCTGACACCAAATTGTGTCCATACAGAAAGAACCCTAATCAAAAAGGTAAACATGCAGAAGCATTTCTAAGGAAAACTAATCACCTGTATCACAAAAGATTTTCATACTTTAGACCAAAAAAAAAAAACTGAAGACTTAAAACATTCAACATACTGATATGTTAAAAGCATCATAATATACAACTCTCATTTTATCTATGCATCATATATCACATAAAATACAAATGTGACACATTAATATTATACATTGTAATAAATATAATTTACATTAGTATGTTGGGATCTTTCAAGAAAATTTTTCAATCTGTACAACTAAAGGACTGTGAGCTTCATCAATAAGCACTGTGACAGTTACAACTGGACCAGGACTTCAAAAGATCTCAAACTAGTATCACACCTTTAAGCACTGTCACTAGTCCAACTGCAGTTGCCATGAGCGCTGGCATCTCTTGTATCCAAAGACAGTTTAGTTCCTGTCTGAGGCTGTCCAAGCAGACAGGAGACTGATAGGTCATAGGTCCACACTGCACTTGGCACCTTGTAAGAATTTTTAGCCAAGGATTGGGATTGAAGAGTTCTGGAAAATAACAGCAGCAGATTTCACGCATCTCAAACTGTCTCCAGTTTTCATGCTTTACCATATCCCCTAAAGCCCTAACAGACAGATGACATCCAACCTTCTTAATCCATGCAGAGTGCTCTGGAAAGGGTCAAGAGTCCCACAGCTGGCTGAGTGGCAATGGCATGGTTTTAACTCTGAATCCTGACTCTCATGCCATATCTCTTTTCTCTCTCTCTCTTTTTTTATCATTTCAATGTAAACTCAAATTGATGTTCAAAGAGTCAAAGAGGCTAATTTGTGAGCCACAGAACACCTTGAACTTTGCATTAAATATTTTTGTAGTGTGAAATTTAGTTAACTGATAAGTTCTAGAATTTGAGCTGTTCTTTCACCCAAAGGCCAGCAGATTTCTGCCTTTGCTATTAAAATACTTATTCATATCATTATATGGCACAAATTAGCACTTCAACCCAAAGTTCACCATTTCATCCTGACCCTCTCTATATTTTCATCATTAGCACAGACTCTTTCCAGAGACCTCTTTCGGCCTGGAAGGAGTTGGCAAGATTATTCTTGTTACTATCTGGCATGCCTTCATATGTCATCGCTGTCCAGCGTGATGGATGTATGAAGCTAAAGAAGAAGAAAAAACACATCAAGTAGCATACGGGCATTTCTAACCACTGTCCACCTCCTCACTGGATCCACACGCCAAAAGAAGTTTCTCTGGAAGCTGAAACAATGTATTAACACATACTCTAAACCAAGCTGAGCATCGTGAGACCTAAAAGGAAGAAAACAAAAGAAAAGCGTGAAGAAATACAGAAATGTAGACCATCAGTCTTCGAGTCCAAGGGTGGCACAGCCCGTGGAATTTGCATTTTGACCAGGTTAGTGATATAGACCTCATGTCACTCAATATGATGTTTGACAGGATCAATGTAGTAACAACATAGTTTAGCCTTTCAGGATTTTACAACACACAGAGCTGTCCGATCCCGAGGACGTGAGAAGCTGGCTAACTCTTCCTTTCCTCCAAATGAGGTGTAGTTGAATATCTCTAAGATATCCTCTCAGTTTGGTTTCTGTTGCTTCTATGCATCAAGAATGAACGTTTTAAAAGAACTTCTGCTTAGGAAAGCTAAATACAGCTTTTCTTCATTGATCTGAGTGGCTGGAGACTGGGTAAACTGAGGCAGTTCTAAGCATTAACTGAAGATCTCACAGATATTCAATCTATCCAGGCATTGCAAGGACTGAAACCAAACCCTGGCTTTGCTGTCACTTTATTTCACAGGGCATTAAGGTTCTTGCCTTAGCATATTGCCCCATATCACTTTGCTTACAAAGTGCTTTCAAACAATGTAGGGTATAAGTTACTCCACCAGCAGTTCCAGATGCTGATGTTGACTTTGCATGGGCTAGCTTTCCCAACTAAAAATTCCTTTGACACTGGACTTGTTTGGGGCTATAAATTATGTTACCCCACCTCAGCATTCTGCATTACATACAATTTGACCAATTCAAGGGCTAGATGCGCAATAATTCGATATTCATTGAAAACTGCAATTAAAGTTGTTGAAGTATTTTACAGATTTTTTTTTTTTTTTAGAACTGCCTGGCAGAGAGAAAGTATAAAAGCAAACACTGACCACTAGTCTTGTTTTCCAATGTTGGTAGTTTGATTAGCAGTTTCTATAACTTACTTTTCACCGTAAGCTTTCCTCAGGTTCTCAAGTTTAGTTCTTCATATTTTTCTTTCCCACATAATATGTGTCTTTCTTTCTTTTAAATATGAGATGTAAAATCCATTAAAGCATTATAGCTTTCCTTTCTATCAGCATCACCTATACAAATTCAGCCTCTTTCTCCGTCTTGTTTACATATTGCATTTAATGCTCTCAAACACAGAGACTTTACATAATGATTTCAATTTAAACTAAAGTACTCATCCTAAAACGTCCTCCCCCAGCCCCAGCTGCCTCTTCTACATCTGAAAACATGCTTGCAGGCTACGCATCATGAATACTGTCAACCACCCCCGCTCTGATAATACTATCCTCCTGCTGAACATCCTCTCAACGTGCTAACAGTCATTCCACTTTATTTCAACTTTGGTCTGTAATTTATCTGTGATTCTTAACATTGTTTTTACAGATATGAGCACATGTCTTGGAATACAAACAAACTCCTAAGGCATTGCACAGCAGCCGTGCAAGTAAACGCTCTTACCACAGGAAATCTAAGAGTCCATGGTGTTTACAAGGAAAGCACATGCACTTTGATTATTTCGAATGCATTTTTCCCTTAAGATAATCGATGCTGGCTTCCACCGTCAAACATTTAGTTCCCAAAGTATAGTGAGCAGTTTTTCAGAAATAGGAAGTAATCACCTTCCAGGCTTTTAAATTAATTAACATTGACACTTCTATTCAATTCCCCAAAGAAGTTCAACCAACTACAACCTATGCTTGTAAGACCCCCAAACAGCCGGCTCAGAGATCTTATGTGACACTGAGTGAGCTGAGTTTAGTATTTCACTATACTATACTAAATATGGAGGAGCCCTAGTAGTGGAGTGGTTAAGCGCTTGGCTGCAATCAAGCCCTTGGCTGCTAACTTTCGGCTGCTAACTGAAGGGTTGGAGGTTCCAATCCACCAGCTGCTCTGCGGGAGAAAGATATTGCAGTCTACAGCAGTCCGCTTCCGTAATGATTTACAGCCTTGGAAACCCTATAGCGCAGGTCTTCTCTCTCCTATAGGGTTGCTGTGAGTCAGAATCCACTGGATGGCTGTGGGTTTTGTTTTTTCTTGTATATGAAATATTTCTGAAGATGTAGAGTTCCAACCTGCTCCCAGCATGGGGTCTTAAAAATAATAAAGTTTACAGGAACCACAAACTCAAGTTTCAAGCAGTCAGGTTGTTTTTTGAGAAATGATTAGTATCAAAATTTCCCCAATACTCATGTGCACACACACTTTCAATGTGTATGTGGAGATGCAGACAGAAGCTTGTAAATTTTCAAGGAAGAACAAAAGGTAAATGTTTAACTAGGGTAGTATAATTTTATTATACATACTTCTAGTCAGAAAGAAGGGAAACCTTGAAAGGAAGCCCACACTAGCTAAGTGTGGGTGTGGGCATTTCTACTTTTAACTTTTTTGCTCTCAATTTCCTCTAGTCTTACTAGAAACTTAAAGGGGGGAAAAACCACTTGGCTCTATTTTAGCATCCTACCATGTAACTAACAAAAGTGAGGTTTTTGGGGGGATTCCTTTGCCTTCACAAGCTTGTATCTCCATTCTGCTTGAACTCGGATAAAATATTGAGGGTCATGTCTTCACTCTTGGACTGCAAATTTCCCTCACTTCTTCTGGAAGCCTTCCTGGTTGCCCGGGAGAGTCTCCTTCTGAAAGTATCTCCCGCCAGGAAATAGAGAATAGGGTCCACGCAGCTGTTGAGACTTGCTAGACCTCTGGTCACCTGGTAAGTGGCATACACCTGGTCATTGAAAGCACACATTTCTGGGGTCTGAAAATCCAGCCGGGCCCTCAAGTTCATCGTTTTCATCACATGGAAAGGGATGTAAGACACAGCGAAAACAGTCAGCACGATAATCACCAGGTAAATGGATTTCCTCCTGAGAGGCGAGTTGTCCAGGTCATTGTAAATCAAAGCTTTCACAATTAATCCGTAACAGCCCAAAATCAGCACCAACGGGACACAGAACATGGCCACAGTCGTGCACATGCTGTAGATGAAATAACTTCTCAGGTAGTCGTCCGAGGTGGTGTCGTAACAGGTGGTTTTGTTCCTCCGGAGCCCGGTGCCGGAGTAGAAGAGGATGGGGGAGATGCCCACCACCACGGTGAGCCACACCAGCACGCTGACATAGACGGCGTTCTTCTTCTTCAGCCTGCCCAGCGACTTGAGCGGATACACCACGCCGCTGTAGCGGTGCGCGCTGATGCAGGTCAGGAACAAGATGCTGCCATAGAGGTTCACGTGGAAGATAAACCTCTGCAGCTTGCACATGGCATCCCCGAAGATCCAGTCCGTCTTATTGAAGTAGTAGAAGATAAGGGCAGGCAGAGTCAGCACGTACAGAAAGTCCGCCAGGGCCAAGTTGAACATGTACACGGAGATGCCGCTCCACGGCTTCATGTGGAAGACGAACATCCAGATAGCCACGCTGTTACCCAGGAAGCCGATGATGAACACCAGGATGTAGACAGCGGGCAGGTAATAGAACTGGAAGCCGGTCTTGGTCAGGGAACACTTGAATGAAGCGGCGGCGGCGGCGGCGGTGGAGATGGCCGTGCTGTTCCCCCAGGGCGAGCCCGGGCCGGCCAGGAAGGCGGCGTCCGTCCCGTTGGGGACAGCGGGCCACAGCACCTCGGTCATTCTCTCCTCTCCGACTTAGGCGGCGGCTCCTAGAGGCAAGCGGCGGCGAGAAGGCGGCGAGGGGCGCAGCGAGCATCGGAAAAGCGGTCGAGCGGCAGGAACCGGGCGCGGGAGGTCCTCACCGAAAGGGGCGCGCGGGGGCTCGCCCACGCCGGCTCCGGCTCCGCGCTCGGCGCGGGCCATGAAATCCGCCCGGGGCCGCGACTGCGCCGGGCTGGCGGGCGGGCCAGCAACTTCCCCGTGCGGCTGGCAGCGCCGAGTTTACACAACAGGGCGCTCGGGGCACTGCTGCCGACAACTTTCCGACTGCGCCTTCCAGAGGGGCGGCGGATCCGCGCCGGAGAGCGCGCTCGGGGCGCAGCGAGGTCTAGCCCAACTGGCTCCGAGGCGCTCCGGCTCGGGGAGGGCGCTCCCCAGCCTCCTTCCCCCAAAGATCAACTTCGTTTGGGCATCGTCCTTTCCCTACCTTGGAAGCAGGCAGCTCGGCTTCGGGCCCCGCGCCCCTTTCTCCGCCCTCCCGCCTCCGCGCTCAGCCTCTAGGGGCCATCGGAGCGCGCGTGGCCGCAGACTCGTGCGCCTCTGGATCGCGTCCCATTCACTGTCGGTGCAGCTCGGGGCCTCTTCTTCAGGCCTGCTCGGTCCGGAGTGCAGGGGGCGGGCAGGAGAGCTAGGCTCCCCGCGAGGGTAGGCGGAGTTTGGGCACCCGGGCGAGTCCGCGCTCCGCCGAGAGCCGAGGGGCGTGCCTCCGCCGAGCCCGCCTGGCAGCCCGGCCGCGCTCGCCGGGGCGCCGCTGGCAGCTGGGGGAGTCTTCTGGGGAGCCGATCTCCGCCGTGGCCCGGCGCGCTCAGCCGCTGCCCCGCCGCGGCTCTCGAGTCAGTGGTGAGGACGAGGGGTGCGCTCGGTCTGGGCTGCCTCCTGGCGAGCGATTGGCCGCCAGAGCTACTTCGCTCTTCCGCTGGCTATCTCGCTAAAGTCAAGTTGCTGACTTACAGGAAAGCCTTATGACAGCTCAGAGTCTTCTGCCTCCAGCCCCGGAGCCCACCTGTCCGCGACAGAAGTCTCTAGGGCCCTCAAAGTCTACGCCAGGTGTTTGCAGGCTGCAAGCAGCCAGCAGTGCCCGGCTGGGAACGCCCTGGCGTTGCAGAGCGCCTGCTTGCTCGGGACCGAATTCCTGGCACATGCAGTAACCTGCTACTTCAAGAGTTTTCCCGAGGGTGGGGTTGGAGGAGTCCCTTTCTGCCTTCTAGTCTGTTTTTGCCTTCTTATTCCAGGATTGTTTTTGTAACTAACCAAAGCTACCAGAGTGACTTAATGAGTAACATCAACGTGAGCATTTCCAAAAGTGCCTTGTAAAAATACTGAGTCAAGACTTCACGTTGTTTCAGCACAATTTAACTTAATAGATACCTACCACTTACAAGACAAGCTCTTCAAATCCTCATGTCCAGTACTTCTAATTAAACACCAGAAGTTGCAAGGAAAATACAATTCAAAATCATTTGTTTTGGAAATAACTTGAAAATTAAATACAGTTCTATATAGATAGAAAAGACAACAAGGGCCCTAAAGTGATTAAGGTATGTTTTTTGGGATTTATTAGCAATCCTTATTTCTCTCGGTGAAAGAGATTAGTCAGGAGCACCTCCAGCAAGAACCTAAAAATATAGATTGTGGACTTCCTTAATCACTACGTTTATTGAAATCCTTTTTTGATACCTTGAGTGTATCAAATTTTTAAGCAATTCACTTCAAAATTTGGGTAAGTTTAATCTGAAAATAAATGAATTATTAGTTGTTCATGGACATAGTTAAATGAGCCCACAAAGGAATGGAATCTAGCACTTCCCGACAATTTAATAATTAACAATATATGTGAATTATTAACAAAGGCATTCTCTTAGAGGCAAAAGAAATTCCAAGAAGATAATATTTCTGAAATGTATGCTATAAAGATGTATTTGTGGTCCCAAATATTATATGATGATGTTTCCTTAAAAAATACTCGAAGGAAAACTTTGAGCTTTGATAACACAAAGGAAAACACCCTAGAAGATCCAGACAGATCCATGAGAGGAACACTGAAAGGATCCTATCCGTGCACATGGCGTCCTGAGTACTCTGGTATTCTCTATTGTGGCCAATTGAACAGCATAACAGTAAACTCTACAATTAGAGTAAATAACTCAGATAAAAGGCACAAGTGTTGGTTGCTGTCTTGAAAACAGTCTTAATTGAAATGAGTGCAGCAGGCCTCAGTTTTCCCATCCATAAAATGAGAGAGTTGGGCTTGATCATCTCTTACGTTTCCTTCTAGTCCCCAACTTGTATGAGTCTCTAGTTCAAAGCCTTCACATGAGACACCTTCATGTTGGCTGATTAGCATGGCCTTAGCTGGTATTCTATCAAGAGAGAGAAGGAAGCAAAGAACACCATGAAGAGATCCATGGATACTCAATAGGTCCTAACTCCTCACTCCTTTGTGTTTTTATTTGCAACCTAAGCAATATGTAACCACACGGAGAAGCCAATGGCATTAACCCATGATGTGAATGCTTTGGAATGTACACTTAATCCAAACACCATTCAGTACTTTCAGAAAACTGACAACTTTACTAGGAATTCGGAGGAGGTAGTTGTGCTGAGTGCACCACAGACTTGTTTTTTTTTTTAAATGATGTAAAAAAACTGGTAAATTTTGTAAATACTGTTGTTACATTCAGCACTTTAAATAGATTTAACTATATCTCTATAGTATGTTTAAGTTATGTTTTAAATCAAGATTGTGCCTTGTGGGGATGTTACATGTATTTAATAATCATTTGTGGATTACTTTCTATTTGTAAAACACTTAAGCTAAATTTAATGAGGGGAAAAAAATCTATCATTTAAGACCCAAAAACATATCAGTACTTACTGATGTTTGAACACTAATTATAAATGCTTTTAAACCAAACCTACCGAGTGGATTCTGACTCATAGAGACCCTACAGGATAGAGCAGAGCTGCCCCACAGGGTTTCCAAGGCTAGAATCTTTAGGATATTAAGATATCGTCCTCCCACAGAGCGGCTGGTGGGTTCAAACCACCAGCCTTTCAGTTAGCAGCCAAGCGCTTAACCACTGCACCATCAGAGCTCCTTATAAACGCCTTAAAGGTATGAAAAGAATATACTCCGTGTATTTAAGTGACTTGCCTCAACCATTCTGTGTTAATTTGTTTTGTATTTGATTAATGATATAAATCCCTGACTTCAAGACATTTACAGTTTAGTTGGAAAAGTGAAGAATGTACAGCTAACAGTAATAGCAACATATAATAATAGCAATAATAATAAGCCTTTCCTAGATACTCTGCACTGTGCACAACAAACAAAGATGATCTCCTTTAATTCTTAAAAATATTCTAGGATGATAGTTGGCAATTGTATCCCCATTTTATGTGATGAAACTGAGGCGCAGAGAGGTTAAGTAACTCGCCCATAGTAACACAGTAGAAAATGGAATTTAAACGAGATCGTCTGTCTCTAAAGCCCATGTACTTAACCATCACCCTATGATGAAATACCAACAAGTGTGCAGGGCATGGACAGGCCAGTTCTCTCTTAGAGACTCATCCAGACTGAGCACAGGAGTCATTTTCAGCAGCCTTCTATCAAGAGAGAAAAAATCTGAGCCAGATTTTTAAGGTACTAATGGTCACAGAATATTTTAGAAGCTTCCCAAATATTCTACGTATATCTTTCTACAAATAGCCAACATTTAATATACAATCTGAGGACAGATAGAAAACTTCTGAGGAAGTCAGAGCTATTCTGTCTTCTTTAGACTTGTCAACAAGACAGCTGCTCTTCTCACCTTTACACAGGTTCTCATCAACATCTTCAGAAAAATCTCTTGTTTCTACCGCCTCAAAAGACAGAAAATATAGCAATCATTGAAGACAGAAAGATCATAGGAAGATATTCTAATCAAGAATACAAACAGAAAAAAAAATTCTGATAAATATATCTCAACTTTAAAGTTGAAATGAAGAAACGTAAGATTTGATGAACTAAATCACTGGTGGCTGTCGAGTCGATTCCAACTCATGGCAACCCCTAAACCTAACTCTGGTGGCAGCATGAAGAAGGGAGAGCTGATGGGCAGGACAGCTGTTCGGATTTTGCAGGTGAAAGAGAATGAGACGCTGATTTAGGAGATAAGGGGATCCTTCGAGGGACTCTTCTAAGTATAATAACTAAGATGTGACAACCTCTGAGATGCATCTGTTGAAAGTAAGGAGGCCCCTCCTTCCCCCAAGATGAAAATAGGAAAGGAAATAGGAAAAGCAGGAAGTCTAAGGGATTCATAGCTGCGCCCCTCAATGAAGCAGAAGCAGAGAGAGCTAGGGTGGAGCGGAATTGGAGAGGGAGCACACTGACTAGGAATAAAAGGATGGTCCCACGGTGTGGAGGGCCCAGCTGCTCCTATAAATTATACACTTGTCATGGATCCAATCAGTAGGCTTCCTGAAATGTATTTCATTAAGGATCACAGCAGGGGTATAGGACACAGAGTACAGACAGCCGGGTTGATCCAAGGTTGCATGCGATGGGGAGGAGAGAGGAGAGCAGGGCAGGGCAGAGGTAAGGGGTGGGGGAGGGAAGAGGGGAGGAGAGGAAGAAGAGGGAAAGAGAGAGAGAGGAAGTAGAGGAACTGCAGGAGGGGAAACACTCAGGATGTGGAGAAAGAAGGGAAAGCAGGATATCTGCACAGAAAGTGGGGCGGAGGGGAGAGACCTTTGGAAATCTCAGTCCTTGATAAATCATTGCACATAGCTTTTCAGTTAGCTAGGTTTAAATCCGGATGTGTGTATGGGGGATCTGGTAGGAGAGATGACAAAGGCTATATGGTCCTATGGTCAGAGTGATGTTGCTGTTGAGTACTTGCCCCTTGGAAGACGACCATCAGCCAACAGCTAGAGGGCCCTCTTTAGGTTTTCTGTCTGAGCCACATCACTTGGAAGAGCCTGTAAAATCCTAGGCCACCGACATTTGCTTCCACCCTTCAGAAAGTTTCTTGCTCCTAGATGTTAAGAGCATTCAAAGGAACCACTTTCGTGTATTCCCTTTCTTAATATTTGGTTGACTTATCCTTCTCCACATGAAGCTCTAGTCTTGGAATATTTTCAGAAGAATTTTTGTTAAATCCAGAATAAATCCTAGCACATGCTTTGAAAGGCTCCAGTCCTGGCTTGTAGCCTCAGCCTTTCTCTAAGCATCCTTG